GAGATGGGTCTCTAAGTCCAAGGGAAGGAAGCTGCGGAAAGATCTGGTGTTTAAAACAGGGAACCATGAAAAGGAGATTTGGCCTTTGTTTCCATTAAGAATAAACAAAATACTGGGCTCGATTACAGCAAGAGGATTTAGGTAAAACATGAGGGAGAAAAACACACCCAACTTCCTTGCTATGTCTGTAAATGCCTGGGTTATGCCGCCCTTGGAAATAAGATTGACGAATGGTCATCACGGGGTGGGTTTTGAATAATGGGTTCTTCCAGTTTCATGATGATGGTACAATGATAAGGCATCCCTTCAGAATGAGCTGAGTGCCTACCCTTTCTGTGAGGTATAGTCCTGATGAACACCATTTACTAGGGAGAAGCATCTAGAGAGCCCTGTCACATGCTGGATGAGTGACAGCCCTTTGGATGGATGAATGGAGGTTCCAAATAATAGTCCTATCAGCCTCATGGTAGTAAACCAGAAAATATGTGGGGGGCAACAGAGACCACAGCTACAGATCTCTCTTCCTGATTGTTTCTTGATTAAATTCATTCTTCAAAGAATTCTTGAGCTCCTGTTGTCAGTCAGGTGCAATACAGACCCTAGAAACAAAGCAGTGGTTCTTAACCAGGGGTGATTTTACCCGCTTGGGGACTTTCGGCAATGCCTGGAGATGTTTTTTGTTTGCAATTAGGGCAGGGGGAGGGGTGCTACTGGCATCCCATGGGTAGAGACCAAAAATGCTGTTAAGCATCCTACAATGCACAGGACAGTACCCTACAACAGAGTATCATCCAGTCCCAAATGTCAGTAGTACCGAGGTGGAGAAATCTTGAGAAAAAGAGATAAGATTCAGTCCCCGCTCTCAAAAGATTTGATCTGTTCCTTGTGGTGTTTCTTAATAAGGCTTGAAATGTATGCTAATGAAAATTTATGCCATTGACAAAAAGTTCTTCAAGTTCCTTAAAGGGATTATAACGAAAACTGAATTTCCCAATACCATTTGGGACTGACAGCATGGTGCTATTGATGTAAAAGGGTTCATTACATTCTTACTAATAGACTGGGTTATCAAATCTTAGATTTAAAAATTATTTAGCAGACGGAGGACAGTATGCAGGTGACCTTTATCACCTTTATCAGCAAAGTGAGCCTATACTTTTATTTGAATGTACATAGAGAATATACTAGGATGGAAAACAACCTACAGTTTGGATTAATAAAGTAAACCTCAACAGTTCATTTCCTTGAACTTGAACTTGTTCCTAATTTCAGCAAGACACAGCTTAAATCTCACTTTGCTTAGAAATCCTAATTTAATAACAGTTGCAGATGGGTTATTTGCAATATTTTGGAACTAGTTCTTTCAAGTGCTCATATGTACTACTTACTATAAAAGTAACCGATATGTTAATTAAAATAAAATACCAATTTATTAAAATGACACCCTATGGACCTCGAATACACCCTATTTGGTTTCGCTGATGTGGGAGGTCAGTTATTTGACCTGGTGGTAGTGAGCTGTTCTGGAAAATTGCCTTCTTTATTTAATGAGTAAAGTTGGCCAGAATGACCTCTAATGCTTTTTCCCCTGCTGTTAGTTTTCAGCTTAGCAGCTCTTGAGTGTGGCTTTTAAAAGCTTGGCATCTCCATCCTTCAGTTCAAAATCTCCCCTTTACCATTGTGCCAAGTGCTCTGGGCGTTCCGGAATGGTCTTGAAAATAATTGAAAAAAAATCTGTAATTCAGACTCCACCAATTTATACTGGTTTTTGCCCCCAAAAGATCCAAATTCCTGTGGGTTCATTGAGCTTCAAACCCAATATTTAAGAATCATCACAAAGTACATATTTTTGAGTTGTTGATGCTTAAAAACTGAAAGCAGAAAACTCTTCTGAGCCTCAATTTCCTTACTTATAAAATAGAATCTAAATCCTTTCCTGCTCTGTTTTATTAATTATGCTACTTATGAAGATAATGACTATATCGACATGCTCTCTCAGTAACTGGCTACCTTTCTCTCTCCCCCTTTTCTTCTTTCTGTCCTCCCTCCCTTTCTTCCATTTGGAGTTATCACCATTGAAGACATCACTTTACAATTTTCTACTCACCGCCAAGGACTTCCTTTGTTAGGGCATTAACTGTATTTTCTTTAAATCTTTATTTTTTCCTCTAGACCAACTAGTTATTTTTAATTAATTAATTAATTTTTTACTACCAGTTTTTGTTTTTTTTTATGGGGACATTGGTTAAAGAAATCCAGTAAGTTTCAGCTGTACATTTTAACAGTAAGGCATATATATATATGTTTACACTGTGTGTTCACCTCCCATAGTTAGATTTCTTTCTGTCACCACATATTTGACCCCCTTTACCCCATCTACCTCCCCCTCCCCCTCCCCTTTGGTAACTACCAATGGAGCTGACATATGAAGAGAAAGGGGCATTGCCAGATAGTCCATGTCCATGAGTCTCTGTTTCTTTTAGACCAACTAGTTTTTACTTTACCAGGAAGATCAGTACCCCCAAATATGGATCTCTGTAACTTGTTCCAATTTTTTTATCATTTCTGAACTGAAGCCAGCTGAAGCCATCTTGACAAGTCTGAGCAAATATCAACATTCCTGGGGACTAATCCTATTTCTTAAGAGTCTAAAAGGCTGTTCTTTGGGTTAGTTGGCCCCAACTTTTTTTTTTTTTGGTACAAAGAGATGGGAAATTAAGTCATGAGAAAAAGCCTGATGGAAATCCTGCATGGCTGATAAGAGTGACCACAGCAGCCTGCCTCAATTGGAAAAACGATGGGGCCTGAGTGGCTAACTCTGTGAGCCCTGTGGGGATCACGTGCCTCAGACCAGGTACCATGGCTCCAGGCTTTGTGTGAGACTACAAACTTCTGATTGGGTAGGGAGCGTGGAATTAAACCATCAGGGAATCCTAGGCTCACTCTGGCCACAGCAATCCCTTTGCCCTTCCCCTGATTCCCTGGCCTGCATGTAGCCAAGCAGATTCCAGTCCCATCAAAGGCTAGGAAGGGGGCCAGGCAGAGGATGTCACTGCCCCAGTAGCACAAGCCTGGTCCCAACACAACACTCTGGGTGTAGCCTTCACAGATCTCAACGGGCAAATCTCCCAATGCTGGTCCCCACTACGACAGCCTCTCTGCAGAGGCCAGCTGTGATGAATGGCAAGGTGCATGTATGGCCACAGCTGGGGTGGGCAGGGAGGCCTGTTGCAGAAATACATCCCAGGGCTGGGGCATAGCCCACGGAGGCTCAACACCCAGGGTTGGCCAACATTTCTCACCCAAATGGAGCTGACATATGAAGAGAAAGGGGCATTGCCAGATATAACAATGAAAAATCTGTGGCTTGAGGTTTTATAATGTAATTACAGGCTACCAAAGCCTTCCTTTATACCTGTGGCAGTACAGTGTGAGGCCAGGGGTTCTGCTGGCTGGTTTAGACTGCCTAATGCTGCAGGGGCAGCAGAAACAATGGCAGAAATGGTGAGAAAAGACCTCAGGCGCATGGGAAATGCCAGTCCCTAGGCCACTTGCGCTGGCTGTATTTGAAACTAGAATACACATGCCATGCTCAGGAAACCCACAATGAGAGTAGAAATGGAAAAAGACCGCACCATGTAGAAGCTGAACGGATGGAGTCCGGCTGGGGCTGTAGAACGGGACTAGTTAGCCCGACGAGAAACAGCTATTTGGTTATTTGCCATCGTGTCACACTTCGAGAAAGAATTTTAACACAGAAAAATAGCAGGAAAAAGAAAAGCCATTCTGGGTGTATGGTACAGGACCAGCTAAGGCTGTAATCTTATACACAGAGGGCCTGGTAATAAAAGAACAGTCTCGAAACTGCTTTTCCTCCTGTTCGTGTTCACAGTAACAGCTGGATACGTACTAATTGCAAGAAGTAAAAGAAAGAGCTTTCAGTTTAAAAGCAGGCATGCCACAGTCAGGCTCTCGCCAGTGCAGTTTCAAACACCAGTGTGATGTGCCACCTAGCAGGTCTGTCTGAAATGCACACTCACTGTCCCTCACTTGTGTGGGTGGCTTTAGGCTGTCTGAGGAGAGCAGCATGGTGCTCCCTCCTGCTAGGTGCATCCCTTCTGCCCATCAGGAAATGGCTTACTCAGGGGTTCTCACCTTGGCACTAGTGACATTTGGGCCGATAGTTCTCTGTAGTGGGTGCCGTCCTGTGCATTGTGGGACGTTTAGCAACATCCTGGATCTCTACCCGCCAGATGCCAGTATCACCTCTCCCCCAGCTATGACTACTGAAAGCGTCTTCAGGCATTGCCAGATGTTTCCTGGGTGGGAGGGGGTATGATCACCTCCCCACATGAGAACCACTGGGCTAAATCAAAAAGAAATGACTTTCTCTCCTCTCCCCGCCCCCACCCCGCTGCCGGTCCCACACCCCAATATATACCCAGGGCCAGGAACATTTAAGAGACATCCACTGGCAACAAACTTTCCTGTCGGTCTGAGCGGCCTTCAGTAATACTTTTGACTTGGAAGACTTGCAGTCATTCAGAACAATGCTCTTATTGCCCTTGAAAAGAAGGTATTTTCTAGCTAAACTGTGGGAAGGCCATGGGAGGAAGCAAGTAAAGCTTCCTTTTAGAGACATTTGTTCATTTTTGTCTACAGAACATTTAGACACAGAACTCTACACACGCCAGGGTCCCTATGAACTGGAAGGGCCTTGGGTACTTGAAACTCACCTCCCCACCCCCATCCCCTTGCCACATTTTTACAAATGAAGAAATGGAGGCCTAGAAGGGGAAGCGACTTGCTCAAGGTCATAAGTATTCCTAATCCTCCTTTTGTGGGGGCACAGGCCAATGGAGTCTCTTTTTGCCAATATGCCTGAAGAGCTTAGGTCTCTAAACACAGAGCACCTTGTAGCGCTTTAAGAGCAAAAGTTTGGTCCAAACCAGGCCAGTTAAGGAATGCGAATTTTTTAAATGATAGAATGCTGCAATCAATTAGTGCAAACAAACATTTATTGTGAAATATTCATCCTACCCTTTATTAGGTATTACATCATCAAAGCACTTTGTGGCAATGAAAATAGCTTTTTTTACCCCTCTGATTCACCCAATATTCCATTAAAGCTGCAAAAAATGTGCAATCTGCTTGAAAAATAGGTTGCTCTTATTTACTCATTTGTGAAAAGTCAAAAATTAAAAAAGAAAATGATACTAGCTTACAGGCCTCTAGAGCCAATTTGCCTTCCTGCTTCCCAACTACTCCCCAAAATAATTAACAAAGATAATTTGTTTTAAATGCCTTTTTATAAAACCAATGCACCTTTCCCCATATTATAATCATAAAAATTTTAAAAAGCCATTATTTACTTTCTTGGAAAAAAGGTGGCCAGCCGTTGTTTTTTGATCGGGAGCATGTGTATTTCCTGGGAGTTCACTTTCTTGAACTTTATGCTCCGGCTTTTGACGACGGGTTTCCTAAGGGATTCCGTGTTTCCCACGGACTCTTCTCCTTGGCTGTTGATGTCATAGCCCTGAAACACGGAGTCTTCTCTTTTGAAGGAGAAGTTTTTCGTGGACACTCCCGAGAGACCTTTGATTTTGCCACAGAAGATAGTAGGCACGGCGTCTTCCACTGAGACAATCACCTTGGATGCCTGGGAGTCGCTCACCATCTCAATGTTATTTTCAGCTTTGACCATGCTGCTGGGCTGGCTGGGCTGGCTGTGTGGCTGGGCGGTGTTGCTGCTACCCATGTGGCTATTCATCATGGCCAAGGCCTCACGGGTCGTGGCAGGGACAAAGGGCATTTCCATGCCTCTTGGCAGTTTCTCCACCACCGTGTGACGCGGGCTGTCCACTGACCTGCTGCTGTTATACAGAGTCTGAGGAGCAGGCTCAGATTTCCGGTGGGCTGCCAGTGACAGGTCTAGGGCTGCATCCTCCTGGCAGATTGGGGGACTGACTTCACGAGCCTTGAGCCAGGGGACTGACTTCATGGAGAGATCCAGGGCCTCATTCTCACTCCCCATCTTGATGACTGTGTGGCGGCTGAGCTGGAAATACTCCTTGGGCTGGAGGATGTCGAAGGGCTTCAGTTCCTCCTTCTCCAGAGGGGTCTGGGTGCCTTTAAAGGGGTGCAGGCCAAAGGAAGATGGCGGCTTGGAGAACCCAGGGCTGAACTTGGATTCAGAACTCTGAGGCACTGGGATGGGGATGGGAATGGGGACGGGCACAGGCAATGGGACGATCACAGGGTAGGGCACCAAGAGGGTGGCTGGCGGGACCAGGGGGGACAAAGGAGGGTTAAAGGGCTGGGGGGGCACAGGGGCATATCCGGGAGGAGGCTGACAGGGTGGGGGGCCCAGAGCACCCTGCGAGGGAAACAAATTCTGGAGCACAGCTTCAAATGGCAACGTAGGCTCCTGTGGCTGGCTCGGGATGCGCAAGTCCAGGAGCTGGGGCTGGGCTTCAGGATCCTCGGCTGCCTGGAAGAGGTTGTTGTGGATAGCATTGGAGGAGCATGGAGCCTCCTGTGGCAGGACCAGAGGGGAGTTGAGGTGCTGAAAGACATGCTGCTCCAGCACCACGGGCAGCTGCATGGGGCCCTGCGTGGTCATAACATAGGTGGCATTGCCATTAGGGTTGAGCTCAGGTGCGGAGCTTCCCTCCACCTGCATGTGAATGGGCATCACCACCGGGCTCTCCCCGAGGCACAGGGGCTGCAGCACAGTGGCTGCCACCTTTAGAGCCATGCCACTCTGGGACTCGGCTGGGGGGTTCAAAATGGATGGAGCCGGCACCGTCACCAGGGCCTTCTTTACCAGGTCTGTGGAGTTGATGTTCCAGGCCTCGGTGGTGATCAGCTGGGCCATGCCGTTCTCCAGTCTGTTATTGGCCAAGGCAGGAGAGGAGTCAGTCATGTCCATGGAGAGGTTCTGTGACTGCAGATTGTCCATCACTCACCTCTGATGCCACTCGATCTGCAACACAGAACACACAATATGAATCCTCCTTCAGAGACTATTTATAATTGCCTTAGGAGCTCTCGCTACATCTTTTTAAAGTTTCCGTATCGTAGTTAACCAAGGAGCACATCCACCTCTCTAGTTATACATACAGGTTATAGATATTTCCTAATAGGTACAAACACACCTGTGATCAGCTGTGTGTGCAGAGCCCCAAATTAAGAGATGATTTCATTATAAACACAGATGATGTAATGACTAAACAGCCAAATGACGTTAAATAGAGTATTTTTAAACCTAATACTTAGCTTATATGCTTAGCCTTCAAGAGACACAGTTTCATTCCACACTGCTATATCAGACAGTTAAGATATGCAGAGATTTGACTTGTTCAAATTCAAATAGGCAGCAGAGACTTACTTTCCTTTAATTAAAAAAAAAAGCCCATCACATTAGAATATTCTGTGAAAATGGGAGGGGCCATCCCAATTACGAAAAGCAGTTCAAAAACTCTGTAGCAATAATTCTTCCAAAAGAGGCTTGATAAGAGGAACTTCCCTAGCAGTGCATTTACACAAGGGTCGGCACGGTTGTCTCGCGGTCTCCCTCCAACCAATGACATCCCCTTTCCTTTCAAGAACAGGAAAATCTACTCTATAGAGCAAAGTGAAGATGCAATAACTTGCATGAATGCTCATTGGGTCCAGCGTCACTTCCCCTATCAGCTCATCTGTCTGACCCGTGACCTCTCCTAACTTCTATCTGTCAAGAGGAGGAGGGGATGTTGATGATTGTAGGGCTAGGGAAATGGAACACTTGGAAACAAGCATCTTCAAAGGTAAGAGATACTCTCTTGATGTCTTCAGCACCTCTGGCCACCTCTGGAGAGGCCAAAAGAACCTATCACGGGTGCTTCCTCGAAGAAGCAGGGCTGCAGCTGCGATATGGCTCTCCATGGAAACGCGTCCACATTTAGCCTGGTTACCATGGAGAAGGCAGGCACCATGTCTAACTCCGGGATCTGTGCAGCCCTGGAGTCTGGTTGGGCTCGATAATTCAATAACCCTCGGTCTCGCTGGGCAGGCCTCGGGCAACTCCAATTCTTGACCTCACCTCTGTCTAGGTTGTCTGGACTTTAGTCCTGTGGTCATCTCATCCTCATCTCCTCACCCCCAAATTACTAACACAACTTCCAAAACAAGTAAGAGAAGTGGCCCAGCACACCATGGGATTAGAAATAAACAAAGGAGGCAGCTTCAACAATTGAACAACTCTGTGATATTTCCAGACAATCCAAACGTGTCTAATGCACAGAACGAGGAGTTTCTCTGAAGCAGGAGAAGGGGAGGGCAAGGAGAAGTACACTGTGCAAAGCATCACTTTGTGGAAGAAGAGTGGTGGGTGATGCCCTTGACAGGTGGCACTACGGGGCCTGGCTCCATAGGGAAACCACGGGGTGACCCAATGTGCTGGCCAATAATGACCTTGGGGCAGAGTAGGGAGGCAGGCTGCCCCCAGGAAGCTGAGGGGACATGGCCCAGCTGCAGGGCCTGGTTTTTCCAAAGAGGAATGCTTCTTGATTCAGCCCAGGAAACACCAGATCTCCAATAGACCATTCATTCATTCCTGCATGCAGGCATTCATTTATTCACTCATCCAACCAATTCATTTGCTGACTGTCTACTGCATGCCAGCACTTTCCTGGGGGCCAGAGATGCTGTCATGAGCCAGGCAGACAAGGTTCCTGCTTTCATGGCAATTATAGTCTTGTGGGGGCACATGTCTCTGATTGGACAGAGATCTGCTAGCATGAGAAGGCATGAAAGTTATGCCAGGAGAGGCAGCAACAGCAGCAGAACAAAGCTTTGTTGGTCACTTGCTGGCAGCCCTATGAAGGCCCTGAGAACCTAACATGTCTTCCAGAGGAGTCTGCCCTGTCCCTCTCAGTGGCTGTAACTCTTGGGGAGGGGCGAGTAACGGCTAAAGGGAAGCTGGGGTGGGGCAGGTGAGGACAAGGGACAGCAATGGTCAGAGAAGGCACCCACGGCCACCCATCTGAGGTGGCTTCTGATGGCCTGCAAGGCAAGTCACTGGGACCAGTTGTGTTCTGTGCTTCCTGTGGGTTTAGGGTTATTCAGCAGTGAGACTGCTTCTTCATAACAGGCTACACACACCTGTCCACCTTTCCAGATGAGGTGGCCTCTCTCTCTCTGCCTCTCTCGACACCCACCCCACCCCTCAAGGGAGAGACAGCAAACTTCTCAATGCCTCCTCCCCCTGCTTCTGGCACAACGTTCAACTCAGGTGCCAACTCTCATCTCTTTCTACGAAACCTCGCTCATCCCCCTGCCTGGCCCTGGTTCTAGGCCTGCTACTCCTGGGGAACCTTCCTGCTTAGAGTGTGAGGGTGGGACCTCTCCAGGGCCGGCTCATTTCACAGACCCCTGCCCTGCCCACAGGTAGCTGAAACTAAAACTCACTGAGCATTCACTATCTGCCAGGCTCTCTGCTAAGAATGCTGAGAACGTTCCATAGCCTTACCTCATTTAATCCTCAGAACAACCATACGAGAGGAGTCCATTTTATTGATGAGAAAACCGATTCCACAGAAATCATTGAAATTGACATTCGAGTTCAGGGTCAATCCCAGGTTCCTTGCCCCTGTGGGAGCTGTGAGAACCACACCCCTCCATGCATTTCATTTCTTGACAAGAGTGGGCCCTACAGCCTCCTCCCTTCAACACCAAGTGCAGGCGCCTGCAGAAGTGTCTGTGAGAGAACACCTGAGGACACTTGAGCATAACATTTCTTCAAAGTGGTGGCCAGGTGCTTTCCAGAAAACCATTTGTCCTTCTTGCCAGAGAAGGAGCTGAAGGGTCACCAGAGCTCCTATCCTTGGGGAGTGCAGCCTAAAGCAGCTATGCTTCTGTTATTAGGCAGCTAGGAGGCCTCTATCCTCTCAGCCTATTTCCGGTTACCCACCCACCCCACCCTGTGTTCCTGAGACAGACATCACATGGGTGGGAGGGCACGTCAGCACCCATGAGTCCCAAGGAGGCCATCAGAACCCCTGCTGGGACCTCAAGAAGTCTCTGAGAACAGGGCCAGGGCCATATGGGATGCAGGACAGGTCATGATGCAGTGGAGGTGAGCAGTGTGCAGTGTCTCAGGGGCAAAGGGTCAAAATCTCACTTCCAGCTCCTCCAACATGACAGCTTTGGACCTGCCTGGTGACTCAGCCAAGGCAAGCCCTGTGAGCACTTCAGCCCATTCCCTCAAAAGACACTGGATGCTGAGACTGCCTTTCCTCCAGCACAGACTGAGTCCCAGCTCCCCCATCAGGTGCCAGGCCTAGCTGGGGCTAAACTAGTAAAGGGAACAGGAGGCCACTTTTGTCATGCACCCTCCTACCTGCCAGAGAGGCTCTTCCCCTCTTTCTCCCTGTTCCTCCTTCCTGTCATTCACTGTACCAGCAGGCATCCCAACTTGGGATCAGCAGCTGAGGGGCCTGAGTGTGCTCAGTGTGGGCAGAGTGGGCATCGCTGCTATAGGAGCTACTGCTTGTAGTCCCAGCAATGCCCTGAAAATAACAACCAGCCCATGGCATGAGAGTTCAAAGGGTAAGTCTCTGCCCCCAGGATGAGCCATGATGTCAGATAATGCCTGGAGAGAAGGCTGAGGCCTGTTCTCCATGCTGATTAGCATGGGGTGAGGGGTGTAATGGGAACGTCTTCAAATCAAGGAGTATCATAAGAGCCACCAACTAGCTCATATAGAGAGGGCAGTGATTTCTTCAGTGGTGACTGGAGACATTTTGTTTGGGTTTTTCAAAACATTGTTTGCAAATGGATTTATCCCTGCACCCATTATCACTGGGAACTTGAGCCAGTCAGTAAACAAGGCAGTGTGGCCAATGGGAGGTGGGCAATCTGGATCAGTTGGCACAGGAGACACTCACTCTCTTGGCCCTTGGGCAGTTGCTGCGGTTGGAGGGTTGGAGGGCTGGGGTCCAGCCTGGTGTAGGCCACCTGCCTCCTGGATGGAGACTCTGGGTAAAAGCCTCAGAGTTCAGGGCAGATGGAGAGGGTGGGCAGAAATTGTCTTGGGCAGCAGGTGAGCTCAGAGACCTGTGGGAGTCACAGACATATTCTCTGAACCCCTCATCTTATTATCATGAAGATGTAAGCCTACCAGGGGCGAGTTCTCTCAGGGTCCGCCCCTCAGTCTAAAGCCCTCCTGGGCCCCTGCCCTCACCCGGCCAACTCCGGCTCACCTGTGAGACTTTGGAGTCTCATCTTCTGAGATTGCCCCCGTCACCGAGCTCCCACAGGACCCTCATTTACACTTGTTCATCCTGACCTTCCCTCATACCGCGATTGCCTACTTACTCATTTCTTTAGGACGGAGGAACTGTCTCAGCATCTCATCTTTTTATCTGTACGTGTGACTAGCAGGTGCTCAGCAAATGCTTTCAGAATGAAGGAGCACATTAATGAATCTGGTGTTCCCATGCCCAGCCTCTTGTCACAGGCTCGCCACTTACAGAATCATGGCATGTCAAGGCTGGAAGAGGTATTAAAGCTTACATACATCTCTATCTTCTTCCTGAATCTTTTTATAAATGAAGAAACTGTGACCCAGAAAGTCTGACTAAAACTCACCCACGGTCAGTTATTATAGAGGTCAGCATGCTCTCACTGTGGAAAGAACAGAAGGTCAGGTGCCAGAGGTGCCACGGTGGGGAGGGGCGGTAACATGGCAGCCACCCAGCTTCACCAGCCAGTGGGAGCTTCTGATGAGACAGTAGATGCAAAAGCTCTTTGTGGACAATGAAGTCTGATGGAGGTGATGTGTGAATGAATTCATCCTGGCTCCTATGTTTCTCTGACACACGCAGAAAAAGGAAACCAAAGCAAGGTGGCATGTGTGCTGTTTTCCTTATAAGGAATTACATTCGTGAAGAAGCAGACCTGGCCCCTAACTGCAGTCAGTGACCCTCTGCACTTCTGTGCCGC